ACAGATTTGTTTGTTCTTTAAAATTCTTTGTGAACACTATAATTCAAATTTGCTAATTTTTTGGTGGTTTTCTTATTTGTTGTCCAATGTTAAAATGGACCTGAGATGATTAAAAATACATTGCTTGAGTCAGATACATTTTAATACTTAAACTTTAATACTTAATCCTTGCCTTTCAACACTTTTTGTAGAGATTGCCCACTGCAGCACATTGTTTGATTTCTTGCCTGCTGCTTTGATGAGCAATGACTATGAATACAAGCAAAACGAAATCCTTGACAACTTCAAGCTTTTCTTTGTTTATCATGATGTTATTTATTAGTACAGTGAGGATTTTCGCTTTCTTTACATTTAGTTGCAATCCATAGTCTTTAGTTTTCATCATTAAGTGCTTTAATTCTTCCTGGCTTTCAACAAGCAAAGTTGGGTTAACTGCATCTCATAGGTTGCTAAAGTCACTTTCTTATAATCAGATATTGCGTCTACACATAACACAGTGTCTCAGATTATTTGCTCAGCTTGGGGCTTGAATAAGTATGGGGTAAGGATCCAACCCGAATGTGCACCTTTTCTGATTTGAAACCATTTTTTGAAACCATTTCCGTAGTTCTGTTCTAATGACTGCCTTTGGGTCCATGAACAGGCTATGTGTGAGCATAATGAAGGGTGCTGGAATTTTCATTCATTCCAATGCTATCCATGGTTTGGTGTGATCCACACAGTTAAATCCCTTTGCATAGTCCATAACACATAAAGTAAACATATTTCTCGCTTCCTCTGCTTTCAGTCAAGAACCAACTCACACCCCAAATGATATCCTTTGTTCCACATTCTCTCCTGAATCTGGCTTGAATCTCTAACAGTTCCCTGCTGATGCACTGCTACAGCTGTTGTTCAGTTGTCTTCAAGGAAATTTTACTTGCATGTGATGTTAATAATATTGTTGGAAAATTTCCACATTCTCTAGGGTTACCTTTCTTGGGAATGTGTTCAAATATGGATCTCTTCCAGTCAGTTGTCCTTCAAATTTCTTGGCATAGTTGAGGGAGTGCTTAATCAGGTTATTTAAACATTTCAACGAGTAGTCCATAAAATCTTGAAGCCTTGTGTTTCACTAACACCTTTTGTGCAGCTTGGGTTTCTTCCTTCAGTTCTACACATTCTTGATCAGATACTACTTATTGAAATCACTGAATGCCAACTAGTTCTTTTTGGTATAATGATTGTGAGTTTGTATCTTTTCTCTCTTCTTTTGATACTTCTTGCATTATACAATATTTTGTCCATAGAATTTTCAATCTTTCAATTTGAAGCTTGACCTTTTTCTCCAATTCTTTTAGTTTGAAGTATGCTTAGTGCGATTTTCCTTTTGGTTTTGTATCTCCAGGTCTGCTAAAATTTTTTATGATACTTTATCTTTTTGAGCTGTCCTTAGAAAATTTTTGTTCAGTTCTTTTATTTCATAATTTATTCCATTAGCTTTAGCTTCTCTACAATGAAGGATAAGTGTGAGAGTCTCTTCTGACATCAACTTTGATCTTTTCTGTCTTTTCAATGGCCTACTTTGCTCACTTATGATGTTCTTGATGTTCTAAATCTTGTCAGGTCTTCTGTCATTAGTGTTCAGTGAGACAAATCTATTCTTGAGATGTTCTCCTTCAACTTCAACTAGAACTAACATGTGGACAATTTGTCTTTTCCACATTTCCATCATCTCTTCCCATAGATGTAGTCAATTTGACTGCTCTGTATTCCATTTGGCAAAGTCCACATGCATATGTTTCTGTTGTTGAAAATTGGTATTTGCAATGAAGATGTCATTGGCCTTGCAAAACTTTATGTTGTGATCTCCAGCTTCTTTCTGCTATCAATGCTATATTTTCCTTTCTTCCATTTTGTTTCCAATTTTTGGATTCCAATCACTAATAATTATAAATGCATCTTAAGTGCATGTTTGATCACTTTCAGATAGACAAATTGGTGGAATTCTTCAATTTATTCATTACTAGCTTTAGTAGTTGGTAAGTACATTTGAATAATGTTTTATTAACTGGATTTCCTTGTATGTGTATAGATATCATGCTATCACAGACAGAATTGTCCTGCAGGATAGCTCTTGAAGTCCATTTAGACAATGAATGTCATGCCGCACCTCTAGAATTTGTCATGCTTGGCACAATAAACCATATTTATGCCTGGTTAAAAATGACCAATACTGGTCCATTTCAGCTCAGTGATACCTGGGATATCAATCTTTATTCTTTCCATTTCATTTTTGCCAACTTCAAATTTTCCTTGATTCATACTTAGTACATTCTATGTTCCAATTATTAATAGATGTTTGCAGCTTTTTTTTCTCTTGTGAATTATGCCTCACCAGACAATAATGGTCTCAATACTTTCCTCCATCCGTGTCATTATGGTCACAACTATTCTTTGAGTATTTTGAGTGCCTTCGGACCTCAGGGACTCATCTTCTGGCACACCATCGATGATGCTCTCGGGCTATTCATAAGATTTTCTGATAATGTTCTGCTGCTATACAGAAGGGCTTCAGCTGCTAATGTCTCAGAAGTGGACAGCCAATTCCTTCTTTGTAATCTACTCTTAGGCTGGAAGCTCTGTCAAAACTTGTTCACCTTGGAATACCCTTCTGGCATTTAAAATCTTGGTAAAATATCTTCCAGTATCATAGCAACATAAAAGCCACCACAGAATAACAAACAGACAGACTGTCCCTGCAGGTTAAATAAATGCTACCTTATGTTCTCTACATAAGTATTGCGTATTATAATGACCAACTTTATGTCTGCTTCCTCTTAAGTAGGTTGTGAGCTCTAAAAGGAAGTACTCAGCTCTATTCTCTGTTTCACCAGGGCCAATTCTGAAACGTAATTAGATATTTTAAGTTTTGAAAAAGAACAGGGACTTTTAATCTGACAGAAGCATACATGTTTCCAGGTAAATTTGACAAAATTAATGAAGAGATAAAAGAGGGAAATTAAATCCCTCGCCCCACTAACTTATTATTGAGGTAATGTGGTAATGAGAGGTTAGTTTATGAATATAGTAAGTGTTTTGTTTGATATTTTCACCTAAAATTTTATTTTTAACAGTATTTATCACTGGATGGAAACTTCAAAGTAAGAGTCATCAAGTATAAGGGGTAGACAGCTTAAGGTAGAATAAGCCCCAGGGAAGTCTGGTACTCTGGGGGGCGGGGGGGGGGTGTCACAAAATCTGCATGGCGTTTTCATGACAACTGACTCCGAGTAGCCTTCCTCAAGACTCCTTATATCTGCTACCAATCCCTGAAAACAGAGGTGACTGGGTTTTCTGTTCTGCTTTCTGAAGAAAAGGACAGGAAGCAACACAGCTTCATATTTTGTAAGTAAAACTGCAGTATTCCAGGGAACATCAGGCTTTAGATAGACTTGCTTCCTTTAGAAACAAGGAAGACTTTATTAACTGCAAAGAACTGGGTTGGTGACCTCAGCCTCCTCTGTCATTATTAAATGCCACACATGTAGTAGTCAGCATATTAGGTGATTTACAAGTGGTGCCTGCTTTAAACATTTTTACTGAAAAAAATTCGTTTTCTTGTGGGCTCATACAACTCATTTTTTAAAATCATTTTATTGGGGGCTCGTACAACTCTTATCACAATCCATACAACCATTCATTGTGTCAAGCACATTTGTGCATTTGTTGGCATCATCATTTTCAAAACATTCTCTTTCTACTTGAGCCCTTGGTATTAGCTTCTCATTTTCCCCCCTCCCTCTCTCACCCTCCCTCCCTCATGAACCCTTGATCATTTATAAATTATTATTATTATTTTTTCATGTCTTACACTGACAGATGGACAACAAAAAAGTGGGTAAAGGGAGACATCCATCAGTGAAACCCTTTCTACTTACTGCTATGAGTGAGCTACCAAGAGAGATCTGATATAGTTATTTGGTACTCCCCATCCAGTTGGTCATAGAGACAACATTTGAACTAAAGGCAGCTTGACCCTGTATCCATATTGCTGTATCTTTCTAACCAGAGGAGAGAAATAACCAGAGGAGAGGCACCACAGCACAGAACCAGTAGCCTGTCCTTACAATGGAAAAGGAGTATAAAATTTATATCACAGATAATTATTACCAACAAATTATAGGGGGCAAGATATGTTTAATGTATGCTACGGTGATGGAGTCTTCCATCAGGAAAGAACATCACTAAAATACACAACAAATACATAAGAAATACAGCGAGATTCTTAAACAGGTACACACATAATCTTAGGCAACACAGGATGATTCAATTAGATAAAACTGAAATCTCTTCATAGCCTGGAATATATTCAGAATCTTTTTCTGTTCTCAACTTTTGAATTTAATTTATATCTTTACATATATATTGCCACCTATACTATGCTGACTATTGTGCATTGTCTTATGACTATAACAATGGAAAAGTAAAGTTCCAACCTGCTAGTAATTTAATCCTGTTGAGGAGGTAGTTTTGCACATAGTTCATGGTTGCATTATAAAATAACCCTTATTCTCCACGTCTAAATAAAAAAGGCGTATTAAGCTCGTGATTCTTACTTGATTTCTTCTTATTTAATTTGAGGATGTGATGGTAGATAATCTTTTCTACAATAAATAAATTCATGAGGCATTTATAAACAATTAACTGTCCAAGTTAGCACTCTAAAGAGTCTGGGCTGATTCAAAGAAGAAGGATCATCTTGAATTGAGCGAGGCAGGATGGTATGAAGTAATTTGCTATATTTGGTACCCACTACCACAGTGGTTCTCAACCTTCCTGATACCGTGACCCTTTAAAACAGTTCCTCATGTTGTGCTGACCCCCCCAACCATAAAATTATTTTCCTTGCTCCTTCATCACTGTCATTTTGCTACTGTTAAGAATCAGGAATCCCATGTGAAAGGGTTGTTTGCCCCTCAAAGGGGTTGCGACCCACAGGTTGAGAATTGCTGCACTACCAGAATGTTCACTCCAGTTCACAGTGACTCTGAATAGTTTCTGAAGCAGTACATCTTTATAGAAGCAAGTGACCTCAACTTTATCCTTCCAAGCTTTTGGTCATTTTGAGCTACCAGCCTGTGGTTAACAGTCCAACACTTACCAGACAAGGTCACCAGGGATGCTTGTTATATTTGTGAGTTTGCTGAATTGAGAAAAGCCTAGGTGCCTGTGGCAGGGATATAAATGGACTTGGATCAGATTGGAAGTACCCGGAATGCTATGAAAATGAGTTTGACTTCATTCTGAAGGTAATGCGGAACTCTGCATGGCAATGACTTTTAGAAAGATCTCACTGGCATCAGTGCGGAGAAGGTTTAGAAACACTTGAAACTCAAGGCAGGGAAATAGGAGAACGCTGCTGTAAGTGACTGCAAAACTAATAAGAGTGAGGTAATGGAGCTGGAGGGTATGGGTGCTTAAGAGACATTTTAGAATTTAATCTCTAAAGAAAACAAGCGTCCATGAAAGTTGTAGACAGATTGTAAGGATCCTCAAGATTCCTGCTCCTGTATACATATCCTGGATAATATTCACTTTTGAATATACACAGCAGTGGTGGTTAAGTAGAAGCCTTGTTGGCTGAGAAGTCAAACACTTGGCTGTTAGCCTAAAAGTTGGCAGTGCGACAGACCACTATTGCCGTGGGAACAAGAGAAGGCAGGATACTTCTGTACAGACATAAAGCTTTGGAAACCTGTGAGGCCACTCTACTCTATCCTTTAGGGTCACTATGAGCCTGAATTGACTTGAGAATAGTGTGTTTTGTATTTTTTAGTTTGAGAGTTGTGAAGATTATAAGCTATCACTTCAATGATTATGTTATATTAGATGTCAGGGGTGTTTTGCACGTATTTCTAAGGTCCCTAAACGCTTGAGTTTAGGTCAAAAGATTGTGAAAAGAGAGACTATCCTGGGTGAGTTTCTCTAATCACACGAGACTCTCAAAGAGAGAAGCAGCAGCATTTCTCTTGCTGGTGATGAGGGAGTGAGTCTGTTGCCATGTTGTGAGAGGGCCACGTTGCTCGAATTGAGGGTGCTCTGTCGGAGCCAAGATCAGCTCCTGGTAGACAGACAGCAAGAGAGGGAGATCTTAGTTCTAGAACCCTGAGGAACTGAATTCTGCCAACAACCCGGTGAGCTTGGAAGAAGACCCTAACTTACGGGGGAGAATGCAATTCTGGACGATACCTTGATTTTAGTCTTCTGAGACACTGAACAGATAAGCCCACCTCGCTGCTTCTGGATTTCTGCACTAGGTAACGCTGAGAAAATAAATAAGTGTTGTTTTCAGCTACTAAATTTATTTTTTATTTTTAATCTACAGTAGAAAGTGAACACAACAGGATATGTTTTGGACAAAAACGAAGTCAGATTTCAACTACAGGTACGAACCACTAAAGACGGAAGCGAAGGTTGGCAGTTCATTAAATAAGTTATTGTTGACGGCATAGAGGTACACAGAACAGGGGGTTTCTAAGAAAGGTGGCACAAACAGTTAAGGGCTTGGCTGTTCACCATTTAAATGTTCTTAAAATGTTCGTGCTTTGGATCCCCTGTGTGGTGCTCTATTTCTGAGAAATCTCAGCCATTGCAAATGTTACGGAGCTGCTCGATCCTGACATACGTGCCATTGCCATGACTGCTGGTCAGCTGCACAGCAACTCCGTTTCATTTTTGGTACTCCAAGCACTATCACTATAAGTGCTATCATTACTCATAATTGTATGTGATATGAAAGATTCTTCTGTACAAGTCAGGTTTTGATATCACAAATAAGCAGCATGCTTTTTCAGGGAGTCATCACAACTACTAATAG